TGGGAGTCCGGGAATGTATCCCCCACAGAATACTGTACAACTACAAGGTACCGTCTCTCTAGGGCCAAAAAGATATATGATCAAGAAATACATGATTCATTTGACAAGGGACAGCATGGCCTTTTACCCGGGTCAGTTGTGGCCTGTCATAAGGGGCTTGGGATCATCCTCTCGCACAATTCCAGGGGGCACTACAGAGTGACAACATGAATGGTACCCCAGGAGTTGAGCCTGTGTGGCAGATTCAGTAGGTCTAGGAGCCTTATCTATAGGTAAATGAAATATCTACGATGTGACACTGACTTTAGACATCTGAACCAGGTAAGTGAGTACATAAAAATCACAGGAAATCTTAGAACATAAGGAAGCATGTGTGTTCACACACAGAGATGCTAGCCAACTCCAGAAGAGAACGACGCAAGTATAAAATCAAGTGTTTTGGAATTTGGAACACATTCTCCCATAGAAACAGGACCCAGATGGGGGCTTCTTAGGTTGGCATCCAGGATATAATGATTAAGTTCTGAGCCAATGTCTTTGGGTTAGTTCCCCTTAGAAAAGGAAGAGGCTATGAATTTACTCCTTCATCCCCTACTTTTTCCACCTAGATCAAAAAGAAGAAGACAAGTTTATGTGGTTAACACCACAAGAAGAGTCCTGAAGTCAGACATTGCAGGATGTAGAATATAGATCAGAAAACTGGGTTGAATTCTGGCTCCACTGTGTGATTTTGAATAAGTAGCTCAACCTCTCTAAGCTTCAGTTTCTTTATCTTTAGAACACAGGTACTGCCATGCTGATGCCACAGTATGCAGCGTAAGAGAGATGGGGTGTATGAATGCCCAAGCACAGCCTGTGGTAAGTTTATCAATCACTTTTACTATGCAACAATCTCAAAATCTCAGTGGCATATAAGTAAGTATGTCTCTGGGCCTGAGGTTTGGTTAGGGAAATCTCTGCTCCATTACCTCCTTTTGGAACCCAAGATGGAGAGGCAGCAGCTACATGGAGCAAGCATGGTTGCAGAAGATGAACACAGGGAGTAATCACTACCTGGACAGGATAGTATTTTGATTAGCTTTTATGCTGCTATGACTAAAAGTTCTGACCAGAACAATTTTAGAGGAGGAAAACTTCATTACAGGGCCCACGGTTTCAGAGGTCTCAGTCCATAGACAGCCGGTTCCATTCCTCGGGGCTCAAGGTCAGGCAGGACACCATGGTGGAAGAATGCGGTAGAGGGAAGCAGTTCACATGACAATCAGAAAAGCAAAGAGGTCTCCACTTGCCAGATACAAATATATACCCCAAAGCCATGCCCCAATTCCCACCTCTTCCAGCTACACCCTACCACTTCAGCTAATCCATATCATGGGGATTAATTCACTGATTGGGTTAAGGCTCTTACAACCCAACCATTTGTCCTCTGAACTTTCTTGCATTGTCTCACACGTGAGCTTTTGGGGGATACCTTACATCCAAACCATAACAGATGGTTTCTAAAGTGTGTAAAGGTTGCAAATGTTGTTTTATCCTGGGTGTTACTATCACCAAAGAGCCCTGAGCGTTTCCTTCAGAATTCATGAAGGGGAGCATTAAACTGGGTTTATAAGAGCTATATCTGATGAGCAAAGGGGAGTATCTGAGAGGACATGAGCAAAAGTCACTCCTGAAGTAAGGCAGCTGTGGTGCATAGGCACAAAACGGAGCAGAACCATCAACTGCTTCATAGGATGTTGTAGTTCAATGACCCAAAAGATGTGCCTGATACCTTCCCTTCCTTTCTTACCATCTCCAATCCTAGATCAAGTCTTTGGATGTACTCCCACAATATAACCTTTACCTTCCTCTGTCCATGGCCTGACGTGTCATCATCTTTTGTATGGACTACTGCAGTACCTTCTTCATCATTACCTGCCTGTTCTGTAATCTATTTTCACACTGGTTAACAGTGGTCTTCCCAAGGTGAATATGCTCTCATGTCAATCACTGATAAAAATGCTTCATGTTCAGGAGTAACATCCTCCACACTGTGCATTCCAGCTTTGATCCCTGTGATTATCTTCAAGACCCTAAACCCCTCATAATCCAATTCATTACTCCTCTCTATTCAGGCTTCCAATTATCTGTCACTTATTCAGAGAGCCCTTCCTGCTCTCCTCAACAAGATCAGAGCCCTCAGTTACAAGCTCTTCCAGCACCACTGACCTCTCCTTTGTAGCATCTGATATGATATGATATGATATGATATGATATGATATACCTAAGGTCACAGAACTGTCCATCAACAGAATCAAGTCTGGGTGCAAGCAGATGATGTGGTCAGTACTAGGCCTCTCTTTGGTTCCAAGTTACTTTCCAAATGTCTTGTAGAATCACAGCTGCTCAAAGCAAGTAGTCCCTGGAGTTAATGATGCTGTGCACCAGTACAAATTAAAAATGTAATTGGATTTGAAGATTTACAAAGATCTGGGGTGATAGGATAATACTGCAATATTAAGATTCAGGAAAATGCCTCTAACTTCTGATGTAGTTATTGACTTAATAGATGAGCCCCTAGTTACTATGAGGCTACTGGGCACAGGTACTATATTCAGCAATGGGGAATCACCTAAAAGAAAATGGAAATACTGATAGTTTAGCATGTGAAGAAAATGGCATTTATTTAGAAGGAAAGGCTGGGACAATCAGATTATGGGACAATGTGAATGAGAAGGTCAGAAATTTGGTTTCATCCTATAGGAAAAGAAAAGCCAATGAATGAAGGCTTTTAGCAAGAGATACTTTTCTTCCTCCTCTTCATCACAATAAAAATAATGGTGACTGTTCACAGAGCACCTACTGAGGCTACTAGTTCTGACCACCCTTTGGGATCAGAACTAATATTAACGCCAACTGAGATGGATAAGGAGCCTTAAGCAAAGAATTAACAGAACCCATATGTCAGAGTCTGGGTGCGACGCTCTATCTCACCCTGAACACCCTATAGAATCTTTGCTTTCAAACATACTCCAAACAGCATTGGGGGGGGGGGGGGGGGCAGAGATTTGGGAGCCATCAACATTTCATTGGGTTGGTTCAAAGCAGGAGAAAAGCCAAGCTTCAGGAGAGAGAAAGGGGAATCAGAGAAGCAGGGAGAGAAAGGCAGCTGAGGCTAACAGAGTCCAGAAAAACCACACAGGTGGAATTTTCCAAAGTTCAGGAGGGAGGGCGGGGCAGAAAGTTACCTAGTGGTCAGGCAGGATGGGGATGGGAAAAGAACCACAGGATCTGTCAGATGAAGAGGGCTTTGGGGACTTTACAGGCAGGATTTTCAGAGGAGTGGTGGGGGAGGGCGCCAGATTGCTGTGGGCTGAGGAACGAGTGGGAGGTGAAGACAGGGCCGACGCTGCGACTCACTCTTTCAAACACTAAGACACGAGGGGGAAGGGAAGATGGCCGAAGGGAGGGTTTTCTGTGGGGATGGAGATACAGAAAGACTGGTGCCGCTGGGAGCCAAGATGAAAGGAGAAGCAGGCAGGCGTTTGAGGGCTGCAAGACGCTCTCCAGGGCAGGACCGGAGGGAGGGCATTGAGCCCCAGCTGCGGCGGGGGCGTCCCCTGAGCTGTACAAAGACCAGAGGTGGCCTTCGTTTTCTGTTACCCTAACAAACCTCAGGTAATCAACTTATAAAGAGGTAAGATTCATTTAGGCTCACAATTTTAGGTGTTTAAACCCAAGGTAGGCTGGCTGCTGACTCGTTGAGCCTGAGGTGACACAGCACATCATAGCAGAAAGAGGCGGAAAGCTGCTCCGCTAGAAGTTGGCGGGAAATGAAAACAGGAAGAGGAAGAGGCGGGGCCAGGCTCCCACAATCCCCTTCGAGGCCACACCTCCAATGGCCGCAAGATCTTTCACTTGGCCTCATCTCTTAAAGGTTCCACAGCCACCCAATGAGCACCACAGGCTCTTGACCAAAGCTTTGACACATGGGCTTTTGAGGGACACCTATCCAAACCATACCAGCCTCTTTTTCTTAATAGCCACAGATGTTGACTGAGCGCATACTCTGTGCCAAGTCTTGTGCTAGGTTCTGTGGCTGTTGTAATGAAGAGGAGAATTATAGCATCCTTACAATTGACGAGGGAGACAAATATCAAGATGCCTAATTAAGATGTGTGTGTCCAAACATGGTAACATTAATAATGGCTAACGTTCATTGAGCACTTCCAACGTGTTGAGAACTTTATGACCATTTTCTCTTCAGCCTTTCACCAACAATCCTATGAGGCAGACACTGTTGGAATTACCTTTTGTAGATCAAGAAACTGAGGCACAGATAGGTCAGACGACTGCCCAAAGTCATCCAATCAAGATGAGCAGAGCGGGAATTTCCTCCTAGATTTGCCTATCTCCAGACACAAGCACTTAACACCTCAACGTCTGACTCAATGCGTATTTGAGCAGGGGGCACTAGGATGAACGAGCCTGTGTCTGCGGGATGGGAAGAAGCCTAGCCCAGCAGTATCGGCTTCACCTGGAACTTGTTAGAAACGCAGTCTCCAGCCCACCCCACCTACCAGGCCAGGATCTGCAGTTTAACAAGATCTGCAGGTGCCGAGCGTACACATTAAAGTTGGAGATGTCTGGCCTACTTCTTAGTAGGGATGGGAAACTGAGGCCCCACCATTAGCAGGTTACAGAGAGTGGTGGAACTTCAGGGTTTGGTTCTGGAGTCCACCTAGTCCTGAATGGGTGCTTCCACTCTTGTCCTAAGAGGATAATAGGACAGCAGAAAGGATGGGCACCGCGGGCGCTTGGCGCGCGCAAGGTGCTTGGCGCGCGCAGGGAGCTCGGCGCGCGCAAGGTGCGCTCGCAGGCTCTCGGGGCCCAGTTGGGCCCCGGCAGCGTGGGCGCCCTGCGGGCCGGGCCGCCGCGTCCCATTCTCCGCGCTGGCCCGGCCCGGTCCCTCAGCTCCACCCCCTGCCTCCCCCTCCCGCCCGCTCGCGCCTCCTGAAAAGCCAGCCCGCCCGGGGCGGCGGCGCAGAGCCGGGCCGGCGCACGAGGCAGCCAGCGCGGCCATGACGGCGGAGAAGGCGCTGCCCCTGGGCAATGGGAAGGCTGCCGAGGAGGCGCGGGAGACTGAAGCGCTCGGTGGTAGCGGCGGCAGCGGTGGCGTCGGCAGCGGGGGCGCGGCGCCCGCGCGCGACCCGCGCGACAAGCGCGACAAGGCTGTCCACGAGCGTGGCCAGTGGAACAACAAGGTGGAGTTCGTGCTGAGCGTGGCCGGGGAGATTATCGGGCTGGGCAACGTGTGGCGGTTTCCCTACCTGTGCTACAAGAACGGAGGAGGTGAGGTGGCACGCGACAGGGAGAAGGGGAGGGGGTGCCGCACGCTCCGTGGGGGTGGGGAGACGGGGGGTGGGCGAGCGCGAGACCCCTCTCCTGCGCCTGCGTGCAGTGGGACCCTAAGGGAGAGCCTCGACCCCAGGCCACCTGAGTGAGCTCACCCGCAGGCACGGCCCACCTGTTCCACGGAGCGAGCGTGCCTATGGGTTGCTTCGCACCTCAGTGTGCCACCTGCCAGTGCGCAGGGACTTGCCCGCCAGGAGAGATCTGTCCCCAGCATGAGGTAACAGCTGAGACCAGCAGGCCTTTGATTTTGGTATTTTCACTGGCATTTTGACAGGAAACATTTAGTCCCTTTGAGCCTCAGCTTTTTTTTTTTTTTCCTCCCCACTGGAAAGGGACTCTGGTTATTGCCTCCGTGGTCTTGGTTTGGGGGAATTTGCTCAAGTGCCAGGCACCAGGGCTAAGCTTTCCCTATCTCACTTCGCCTTCACTGTCACCTTTGGAGGCGGTGGCATGCTCGTCTTGCAGACGAGGAAAGTAAGGGTCAGAGAAGTTCCTCATTTAACCAGTGTTTAAGATGGGATTCTGGGACCAAAAGCCTTGTTTTAAACTGCAGTTGGGCTGACAACGGGGAGAACTTCTTACGTGAGCCTTTGCTGTTAGCTTTTCTGCCTCACCTTTTTTTAACTTTGCTCTTAGGGTCATTTCTGGGGCCAATATATTGGGCCTCTCTGGTGGAAGAATTGGCACCAAGCAGTCACATTTATTGACCTCAGAGTCACCCACAACACAGAGCAAGGACACTGATTTAATGTTTTTGAGAGATTAGAGATTGTGGAAGGGGGAGAGGGAGAGGAAGGTGTTGAGAGAGTCATGTGTAGTAATAACGTCTCCAAGTCAGTTTGCCAGAAGAGGCAGTGGTAAATCTATGACTCTCTCAGTTCAGAGAAAGGGCTCCAGACTTCAAGACTTCCTTCTGTCACATCAACAGGACAGCCCTGCAAGTGCATGGGAAGGGATCTTCCAAAATCTTCGGTGGCATGTTTCTCCAAGAGAAAGCCTGTGCCAGTACAGTCCCCCCTGACTCTTTTATGGTGCCCCCCCCTTCCTCCAGTAAATCCTTAAACAAGGTGGCTCAGAAGTCGGCTGGCAGGGCCAGTGCTGGACTTCCTGCGGGAGCTGCTTGCAGGGGGAGAGAGGAGGATACTGCTGGGCCCAGGCCGTTTCTTTGGAGACATTCATTTTGAAGGTACAGGCTGCTCCAAGCCTGCTTTGCACTGGTAATGAAGTGGCCACCTATGTTGGTGGTTTGGCAAGGGGGGTACAGAGGGAGTGGACTTGGAGACCCCAAATGTGCCCTGTGCCCTCAGCTGTGAGTCCTGCCTCTCTTGATAGACTCAGCCTTTGTAAATTGTGATGTGCACTTGGAAACCTGTGGAAACTCTTAAGGGGAGGCCCAAGCCAAAAAAAAACAAAAGTTTGAATATATTTGTTCATCCAGGCAGTTATTGTGCCAAAGTAATAAGTGTTCCTAAAAGCAAAAATTGGGTAAATTACAAATTCTGCCACAGATTAAAAAAAAAAATGTTGTAGTGAGTGAAGTTTAAAAATGAGTCATTGCTGGATTTTCTTTTCCTTTCTCTGATTTGCCGAGAGTCTCCATTGGGTACACAGATACCCTGGCTTGATTGAGTTAGTTATTTTAAGGATTACAGTACAAGCTTTATGAATACACAGGCCAGAAGGCTTTTACGAAGTGCCATCTATTAGGTTTCAGAGGGTTCCCAGGTAAATTGCAGTGTATTAAGGAATGATTTCAGCTGTTTAATCAATTAGATTTAGATTCAGTAAACAGATACTCTTACTTCCTTTCACATACTTTTGCCTTTTTATATAGTTCAGCTGTTTGTATATCCACAGTTTCTCTTTTTTTCAAAAATCTACATAGCTGTACTCATAGATGCCACTGATAGTTTAAAGTATTTCTTTCCCAATGTGAAATTTTGAATTAGTTGCTTGCCCAGAAAAACCTAAGACCCTTCAAAACCTGGTAGATAGGACCCTGTTATCAGGATTGATCAAAATTGTTGCTATTAATCCTTGCAGTTAAAGAGGCTTCATTTAGTAAAAAGCAATTTCAGTTAAAGGCTTCATTTGTGAGATCAGATGGTCGGAAATAGCATGTTTTCATGCTTTGTTATTAGACTGGAGAAAGAGGACGAGGGATTTGGAAAAAAATCCCCTTCTGTTTGTAATAGCCCATGTTCACCTCAGTTATTTAATTTGTTTTGCAGAAAGGCCCAGGCAATGGATATTGTGTTTCAAGATAGGAACACTAAAACTGAGGGTGGTCTTTTCCCAGACTGATCCTAAGCCAGACTTACTGGATAGGTTCTTGTTGTAAACTCCATACAATTCAACTGCACAACTGGGACTTGCATATAGGGATGTTTAACTCTTTGAAGCCTGATATTGTTCATGATATAATTCCCTGAGAATGCTTTTTCATTATGAAAAAAAAATATATTTTCAGGTCATTCTAAAAGTAAATAACAGAAAGGGATCTCCCTTACCTAGACTGTTGACATCACTTTAGAATTAAAAACAAAGGGTATAGTATTCAGGATGGTAATCATCTTGACCTATGTCAAAGGACAGAATACATAAATTAAAGAACTGAGCAAATAAAACCCTTTCTTTTATATTGTCTTCATAGCTACCCATTAATTCTGGAAGATAAGCTATGTAGATATTAAAGTCCCATTTTACAAATGAGGGAGCTGAGAATCAGAACTGTGTGGTAGACTTGCTTAAGGTCATAGATGGCAGAGAACACAAACCTGGGGCCATACTTTCTGACCCTAGTCCTAGCTGAACTGGACCTCAAGCTTAGAGAATAGCATGTCTTGCCTGTGGTAGGTGCATAATAAAGATTTCCTGTGCCAAACATGAAATGATGAGAAAAGTTTTAAAGTCACTCCTTCATGTTCTTCCAGGGGCATTCCTGATTCCCTATGTGGTATTTTTTATTTGCTGTGGAATTCCTGTCTTTTTCCTGGAAACGGCTCTGGGGCAATTCACAAGTGAAGGAGGCATTACGTGTTGGAGGAAAGTCTGCCCTTTATTTGAAGGTAAGTGTTGATTTAATGAGAATTAAGGTTTTGCCCCAAAAATGTCAAGCTACAAAGAGTAGCTGAAGACCGTTAGGAAAAGATAGAAACTCAAATTGTTCCCTTTTCTTTATCCTTTCAGGAATTGGCTATGCAACGCAGGTGATTGAGGCCCATCTAAATGTGTATTACATCATCATCCTGGCATGGGCCATTTTCTACCTGAGCAACTGCTTTACCACGGAGCTCCCCTGGGCTACCTGTGGGCATGAGTGGAACACAGGTATGGACTGCAGGGAGGGTCTCTCTGCTGGTGCTGGTGGAGGACCCGGGATTGGGGTATTATCCTTGACCTCTGGGCTCTTGTCATGAGTCCAGTTTCCTGGGAGTGGCTTTACTGGTCTGGGTCTGTTTTGTTAGTTACAGCCTAAGCTGAGCTTTGGTCCAGGGTTTGGCATGGTTAGGAGAATGGAGATGCTCTTGGCTTACTTTGTTAGATGCAGAGAATGAGCCCCTGGGGGACAAGGTGTAGAGTATGAATAAGTGTTAGATTCAGAGAACTAGATCCCCAGTTTCAGCCCTACTTCTCCAAATGGCCAGTTTTCCTCTGTAACAGGAAGGGGTTGGACTAGATTAAGGACTGCAGGTGAAGGGCCTTTAGGCTGATCCATCTTTAGATCAATGAACAGCAAACTGAAAAATGTATTTGTTTACCAGAATTTTAAAGTCTGAATGTTTCATGTGAAAAATCCAGACTTCCAGCTTCTCTTTAAAAATTCAGAGATTTGGCAACATTCCTACTTGGCAGCAATGGCTGCAGCTGAGAAGCAGCTATTGCCTTTGGGTGACACATCTGTCCTCAAGTTTCCAGTGATCCCACCCAGATTACTTTGTTCATTTGCTTTACCTGTTCAACCTAGCTTGACATTTGAGTTCAGCAGCTGCCCCCTTCCGAGAATGGATAATACTTTTGATTTGACAGACTGTTTTGTTTTTCAGTTTTAGAATTGGGTTTTATAATCTAGGGAAGAAAAATCTGTCCAACCTATTTCTGAGATGGCTGTGCTTACAGCAGGCATCTCTAATTGATTACAGCAATCTCTTCTTTTGAGTCTAGTCTTAGGCTTGGAGCTCTTATCCGTGCTCTGGGCAGCTGCTACCTTTTGACTAGAATTGGGGCTCACAGTTAACCCACTCACCATCCATTTTATAATCTGTAGTGAGATCATGTCTGGAAGTGTCCTCTCAGGAGATGTAGCAAGACTGGGTAGGGTGCTGGTCACCAGCAGACAGAACTGAAGGCATTAGACCTGGAAATTTCTGAGATCTATTTTCTATCCCCATATGACTGTCCCCTGACACTCACATCTTGTGGTGGCTTCACTGTCTCTCTTCAGAGTGTTGTTAATCTTCCTTTCGCAAGGGACCTTAGATGTTCATCAAACTCAAATTCAAGGGCATATTCTTGGAGGCCTGTGAGTCTTCCGTGATAATTTAATTGTGGATATTATGAGAATACTCTGAAAATATGTGCATGTTCTGAATCTTAAGCTGAAGATGGTCAGGAGAGTCTACTACCTGAATTTGCATGTGTTTGTACTCTAAGAGCAATTCATGGCAAATAGAATGATAGTGGCCAAGGGAAAGAACAGAGAGAGGTTTAATTCATAAATGGTCTGCTGGGGGACTGAGGGTTTGGCTTGGTGGTAGAGTGAATGCCTGACATGCGTGAGACCCTGGGTTCCAACCCCAGCATGCCAATAAATAAATAAATAAGGTGCATTGGTACTAAGCAAAGTCCAGTTGAGAATGCAGTTAACTGTACGAATGAAGGTTTTGCACAAGTGTAACCAGCAGAAACTGGTTGTAGAACTGAGACTCAAATAGCCTGTGGAAGAATGAGGCAGATGATCTCCACAGACTCTACTGTTTACCTGTCAGGTGCATTTTTTTTTTTTTCAGTTGGGGAAGCAATTTAATTTCAACAAACGTCATTATTCTACAGTCATGTGATATATAGGGATTTTGAATCGTGTTGGTTCCATAGTTGAGTTGGTATTTGGCTTCTAAATTTAATCTTTTCTAGTTTTATGACTTATAAAACACAAAGACTTCACTAGCCCATTGTCTATTTGTACATGATTAAATATCATTTTAATAAAAATAACTCATGAACCTTGGGTGTCTGCAGTTTTTTTTTTTTTAACTATAGGCAAAAACGTGAGAAACTTTATTTTATTGATTGATTTCTTGTATTTTATTTTGAGCCCAGGAAAAGGCCCAAGAAACATCAAGTCATTTTACTTATAATCTCAGTTTTCTAGACTCCTCTTAAGACTGACTGTGGACCTCCAGACCACTTCCTTTCAGAATATAGTTAGCGCTTGCCAAAAGGAACCATAGAGGCATTTCTCCAGTGGACCACCAACCTCTTTCTTCCACTCGTTTGCAGTCTCCTTTCTCTAAGGCATGTGAACCCTTGCAGTATGCAAAATATCACACACAGGATTATAATTTCTTCCCCCAAAGATGGCAGATGTAATTTGAATGGTTCTTACACACATGAGAAGAAAAAATGTACCAGAGCCAAGTGGGTGCTGGCCACTGTTCTGGATGCATAAGGTTCTGAGCGAGCCAATTCAGGAAGCCCTGTCCCTAGGCAGCTTGCAGTCTGGTGGCCCAGGCAGCTCTAAACAGAGAAGCACGGGTTCCATGGTGGCTGATACTACCAGGCATTCACCATGCCAAAGAAAATGGAGCCCTGGCTAGAATTTATTCTCAGTTCCTTCTTTAACTGGTGGGTGGCTTTCTAGAGGAAAGAAAGGGTTTGTGTGTGGGGAGGAAGGTGTCCCTTGACTTTTTCTGAACCTTAGATTCTTTCCAAAATAGATGGAGTTAGAGAAGGTAATTCCTGGGAGGGCTTTTGAATTCTGGCTTGCTTAGAATTCAGGGGAAGGAGATCAGGGTTGGCTTCCTGGAGGAGTAGGAGGGATTAATGGGTTGCTCTGGGCCTTTCTAGTGAATTGGATCCTATAAGGGAATGGTGAAGAAACCAAGGATCTTTTACGCATGTAGCTTCTCACCATTTTATCCAATCCTGACATCTTTATAAGGCAGATTATAGTCAGGCCCCCTCCCCCCCCCGCCCCCCCCCCCCCCTTTTTTTTTAACATAGAAGAAAAATCTCATCTGTGTTTCTGCCCTACGGATATCACAACTAGATCATTTCCTTAAATCTCCCCCTTCAGTCCAGCAAGGGCCACTGGGTAGGAGAGAGAAATACTACAGATAGGACTTGGGGCACAAAAGTGGAAAAAAGCAAAAATGGTTTGGGAATAAGGCTGGAGGAAAGAGCAGGATGGGGCCTGTTGGCTGGGAATGGAAGGGACTCAAGTCCCCTGCCCCCACCCCTTTCCTCCTGTCCTGGTCAGGCCGAGCCTCTCGTGAACTATCGGTAAAGCATTGATTTCCACCCCTAATGCTCTTGGAGTCATGTTTGCTTGGAGCGGCGAGTTAAAACTGCCAGCGTTGCACCATCAGCGCTGAATGTTTTCCCAGCTTTACCTCTCGCGAAGGTTAATTTTCTTGTATGTCTTGTTTTTTTTTTTTTCCCACTGTAGAGAATTGCGTGGAGTTCCAGAAACTGAATGTGAGCAACTACAGCCATGTGTCCCTGCAGAACGCCACCTCCCCCGTCATGGAGTTTTGGGAGTAAGTGGAGAAGCACTTGTCTCCCTCAGTTGGTGGGGACTCTGTCCTGCTTCTGCTCATTTGACCTTGCCCGCATGCCTGGGCAAAACCTGACCTTTCCTCCAGTCTGGCAGTTCCTGGCTTCTGCGGGCTTTTTCTTTTTTTAAAAAAATAAAAAAGAAATGTATTTTCTTTTAGTTGTAGATGGACACTAATACCTTTATTTCATTTATTTGTTTTTATGTCGGACTAAGGATTGAACCCAGTGTCTCACATGTGCTAGGCAAGTGCTCTACCTCTGAGCCACAACCCCAGCCTCTTTTGTGGGCTTTTGATTATTTGAGAAGCAAGTGTGAAGATCCTCTGGGGTTTCCGAAAGGGACAACAGAGAGAAATACCTTCTTGTTTTTTGATAACATGTCAGCATGCCTAGTTGCTTATTAGGGCAGGAAGTGTGATTAAAAGGATAGTTTAAAAATTCATCTCGAACAAAAGAAGATAGAGCGTGTTTGTAATAAGTGAAGTCAAGAGTATATTTAGCCTCGCAGAAGTCTCCAGGGGGGACAGGTCTGCTTGCTCTCCGTAGCTGAAGTGGCATGTGGAAAGGAAGCAGATTCACTTTAGTGTACAGAAGTTACAAAGAGGCAAGTTTCAAATGTGCTTAAGGATGAAGTTGGTCTCACAGTGTTGTCTGAAACTACTTTAGAAGATTGTGAGCACCCTTTACCTGGAAGTGAGAATCCTTTACCTGGAAGTGTTTGACTGGAGTTAGACTGCTGATTACCATTAGAGATGTATCAGAATCCCCTGAAATTCTAAGCAGGATTGTATGGGTGGGCATTTTCCTAGAAATGGGCATAGTTTCATCAGAGTTCCAAGCATACAGTTGTCTTAGTTGCACACTTTACAACCTGAGGAAGCATTATATACATTGTGAAATGTGCCCTCCAGGATTATATAGTATACAACCTGTATAGCCATACCCAGAAGCCCTGACTTTGGAGTTTCTAAAGTAGAAGAAGGATTGTCCCCTGCCCCAGGGTTTTGAAGAGATGTTTCCTTTATGATTCAAAGTCTGGACTAAATGTTTTCTGAGATTTTTCAGGCAGAAAAGACCTGGCTCCATTGAAGAACCCTCTCCTTCCTTTATACTAATACTAATAGTGTGGGGGGGGGCAGTGTTTCATGAAGGATTGTGTTTTATCCAAATATCATTTCTCTCTTTCCCTTTCTAGAAATCATTATGCTGAATTTAGATCTGTAATCCTAAAGCACATCTTCAACTTGTTTCATGGCTCTAATAGTACCAAGGTCTCGCTTACATTTTTTTTTTAATATTTATTTTTTAGTTGTAGTTGGACACAATATCTTTATTTTATTTATTTATTTATTTTTAGGGGGTGCTGAGAATTGAACCCAGGGCCTCACACATGCTAGGCAGTGCTGTACTGCTGAGCCACAACCCTAGCCCTCTCTTAGATATTTAAGAAACAAATTATATCTATGGTATCCATTACTAACTTGTTTTACAACAACTTTGTTTCTTTGATCAGTGCTGGTTTGGAGATGTATCCATATGGTTAAGTGTAGCTTTGGTTCTTTATTTCCCCTACACTGTGGTATATTGTTGTATTATATGAATAGCCTACATTGTATTTACCCAGGTCCTCTTGATGGGCTTTTAGCATGTTGCCACTAGTATTAGGCACACTTAGTGAATGTCTTGTCCAGTGCTTTCTTTAGTACCTGAGTGGTTTCCAAGCTGTGTAACTGTCTTGTCTGTTAGCTGGTTCTTGTCAGAAAACCTCAGACCTGGTAACTCACAAAAAGTTGTTTCTTGTAGTTCTAGAGCTTGGGAGGTGCCAGGTCGAGAGCCTGGCATATGGCAAGGGCCTGCTGCTGTATCATCCCATGGTGGAAGGCAGAAGGGCAAGAGAGCATATTTGCTTGAGCAGTCAAGGGGGCCAAACTCATCCCTTTGTCAGGAACTCACTCATCAATAACTAACCCACTCCCATGGTAATGATATTTATTCATGGGGACAGAGCCCTCATGACCTAATCACCTCTTGAAGGTTCCACCATTCAAAACTGTTGCATTAAGGATTAAGTTTCCAACATGGGAATGGTGGGGGATCATAGTAATACCTAATAGTGGATTTGGTGGTTTGTAGGGTACATGCATGGTAAGTTTTATCAAATATTAGATAATACAAAGTGATTCCCTAATTTACATTCTAAATATGTATGTGTGCAAGAATTTCTGCTGCTCTATGTTTATGGAACGCTTGGTCTAGTCAGTCCTGTTTTGTTCATAAAATGGGTGTGATTGGTATTTCACCATTTTAAAGTTGTATTTCTCTAATTACTTATGAGGTTGAGCACTTTTTCATGGTCTTTTTTAAAATGAATTTGGATCTTCAGGTTCATACTCTTTTCTGTTTGGATTGTTTGTTTTTTCCTATAGAAAGGAATTCTTGGTACAGGCTAGATGTTAATCATTGTGCTGGAAATATATTTTCCCAGTGTGTGGATTTTCTTTTTCATTTATGGTGTACGGAATTTTCAATTTTATTGAAGTTATATTTGTCAATCTCTAAAGAGATTGGTTTGCATAATTGGAATCTAATTTAAGATATATTTCTGTACTCCAAAGTTGTAAAAAAAAAAAAAAAGTTATGTATTTTCTTCTAAGAGTTTTGAAGGTTTCCCCCCCGCCCCCCACATTTAGCAACATAGTCTTTTTATTTATTTTTTAGCTTTAGGTGGACACAATATCTTCATTTTATTTTTATGTGGTGCTGAGGATTGAACCCAGTGCCTCAGGCATGCCAGGCGAGCGTGCTACTACTTGAGCCATATCCCCAGCCCCAATCTTTTTATTTTTTATAAATTTCTTTAAAAATTCTTAAAATTTTTACTGTGTATAAATTTTGTTCAGATTTTTATTTTCATATATATAACCAATTTTCCCAACAGTACTTCCTGATCATTCATCCTTACTCTACTGACTTACAGTGCTATCTTTTATATATCATTTTCCTAAAAGCACAGGTCTGTTTGGGGCTCACTGTTCTGTTTCATTGTCACCTTAGTCTATCTCTGTGTCGATACCAAAACTATAGTTTTATGTAAGACAAGCTCTGGCAAGGCGGCTTCCTCATTTTTTTTCCTTTCCAAAGTTTTCTTAGTGTTCCAAATATATTTTAGAGTCAGTTTGTTAGATTAAACAACAGCAACAACCTTAAAGAGAAACAAAAACTCTGGGATTTTGATTGGAAGTCTATTGGAGAAAAGTGACATCTTTGTGACTGAGCCTTTCTACCCATTTATTTAGGACTTTTAAAATGCTTTGTTAAGTGGCACTTCTTAAATGTGTTCTACCTAATAGTGGAATTGGTGGGTTGTAGAGTACATGCAGTAGCATTCAAAACTCCTGCTTATCTACCCCAGACCCAGTGAATCACAGTCTCAAACCGAATATCTGTAAAATATGTACTGGAGAGGGGGCTTCTGTGCTAAGTGAGACTGTGTGGTTTATTCCCGACTTCAATGAACTATAATTTCCTGGAGGAATGTCACAGAGACATGTTTTTGGACTTGCACCTTTAAAGGGTCAACAAAATATAGCTTCCATACTTCCCTAGGGAACCCATTCCAAAGTCCTAGACAAGACGTGGTCTCTATGTAAGTTCCTGGATTTTTTTTTTTTTTTTTTTTTGCACCATTCATTCCCTTTGTATCATGTATACAGACCTTTAGTTGAATATTAGCCATATTATATATTTGTTCATTGTGTTCACTGACAGGCAGTCATGAAGCAGCACCTGTCTGGTTTTACTCACCACTGCCAGGATATGGAAAACCCTCAATGAATATTTATAGAATAGATGGATAGATAAGAAGCAGGGAGGCAATATGTTCTAGAAAATACTATAGGAGATGTGCCAAGGGGGCCCTGGCAAGAGCTCATGCTGTCATTAATATTCCAACTCACCAGCATTGATCAGTTCCAGGACCTGTTTGCAGTATCCATGTCACTCACTCATTTTGGCCACCATGTGGCAGGAAGGGACAGATGGTCTGCATCCTCTGTGTAAAGACCCTTTTGCCAGCTACTTGGCCATTCTAGATGAATGTGCATGGGAGAATGAACTCATGAGTTGGTTTCCTATTCAGGTTGCATCTGTATTATCTACACAGTGTTGAATTCTGTATTCTGAAAGTACTCCAATGGTGGTGTGACACTCATCCCTTCATGACATGCTTTTGTCAGACAGCTCCAATTCATCTTTTCCCCAGAGATGAACTTGGGATGCAGAGACTGTAGGAGATGTTGATAGCATCCTATGAAAATCTCTTGAGCCACAGCAGCTTGAGGAGGGCTGAAAACTATCTCTTGGTGAGAACATTCATTTACCTGAGGCTAACCCAAATCCCCAAACTTATTCTCCTGTAGAATAAATTGGAATAATTTCCCTCCTCCCCCTGAAATCTAGCATTTCACTAAACTTGTCTGGAAAACACTTTGCTATGAAGAATTTTTTCCTTAAATTCAACTGAAAGTTAGTTTCTGGGGCTTTGGATAAAGCATTCCTAATTCCTTTTCCATGTGACAGCCCTTCAAATATTGGACCCACTTTCTTAAAAAAAATTTTTTTTTCCTCACCAATTCTCTTTGCTTGCTCTCCCCTGATGTGGCTTGTTCATGGTTTCTCCAGTTCTGTCCATGACTTTGTGTGCTGGCTTCTGTCCTTGCCCTGCCCCCAACTCCAGGGGCCTCATTCAGGACCACACTGCTTGGTTAAAGTAGAGGCCATGGCTGAATGCTAGTTCATTCGTTGCACAAATGTTTGCACTCCTGGTGTGCATAAGAAAGACACTGTGCACATTCAGGCCAGGCAGAGTGAAAGATAACATTCTAGTCTCTAGAAGCAGAGGTGAAACCAGCCCATAGATTACCATAAAGTCAGTAATAAAGTACCACTTTCCTATCCACAACTGGATGTGGCTTTGCCTTAC